AGATCAAATAATCATAAATTTCAACTGAAAAATGGAGTGATGGAAGGAGGATTCAGAGAGTTTGCAGTCACTGCTGAATCTTAAATAATGGTATGAGTACCAACAAACAGGAAATGTCTTTGCTCAGGTGCTGAACATCTTTCTCTCCTACTGACGCATATGTGAGTTGAAGATGTGCAGCACATCATGTAACTGGATACTCTAAAACTGGACACTATCTAATCTGCTTTCCACTAGAAAAATATAGTAATTGCAGTGATTCTTTTTCTTTTATGAGAAACAGTTTGTATTTCAGAAATGAAACACGTTTCACTCTTCTAATTACAATAAAGAAACTGAAACTTACTTTAGAAAATACTGATATTCTTAGGACATAACAATATATGCTTACAGGTAGTGTCAATGCTTTTAGAAAAAGATCCACATACCATATATAACAGGATAGCATATCATATTGGGATAGCAATTTTAAAGCTGTGAATGCATGATCCCTATCAGTTCACAGAATCCAGATTCCTTTTCCAACCACCACTCTCCTTTCTGGGAAAAAAAGACAGAGATTACACTGAAATAGGCTCTAAGTTGATTAGATAGAAAACATACTCCAAGAATGGCAGTGTTAATATTGTAGAGAAAGACAGTTAAACTTTCTGTATCTTACTGCATTCGTTCTGGTTCCTAAGACTTACTGTGGGGATGGGGAGCCACCCTTTGGTCGTTATTGTAAATGCAAAATCAATATAATGTACGATGGATGGCTGATGGTTTCTGCCCTCCGAGGAGGACTCTAGGTAACTGCTTATAAATTCATTGGTAATACTGACAGATACTCCAAGGATCGTCTCTGCTTTAACACCATTGACAGTATATATCTTACCTTTCAGGGACGGTAGGGATGAGTAATCTCTGCTTGTGTAGGGCTTTGAGCATGTTACGTGCTAAGTGTTGTCATTACATTCTGTGCCTTCCGTTCCTTATCACATTAGTGATGCAGATCGGTTTCCACAAACTGAATGTCTGTAGCATCATTTCTCACTAAAATGAGGATTAAATGAAACAAAACATTTGTAGCTTCGTAGGATTCTCTTCCAAGAGTCCAAAATTGAATAAATGAAAAGGTTCAACCTGAATTACAAATTACTTTACTTTTTTGTCATGGTGATTGACAGACACAGATGAGTGTGAAAAGCAGACTAACAAATAGAAAAGACCAACAGACTGCTACCATATAATTTCAGCAAAACAGGCTGGATACTGATGTAGAAAGGCAAAATCCTCAAGGAACGGAAAACACAGATATTAAGCCCAAAAAAGGTCAGCCGATGGGGCAGAAAGGGAAACCTATGGAAACCGGCCAGGGAGATTAAACTTAAGCCTCACACAACTCTTATTTCACATTGAAAACCACAAACCATTCCCAGAAAGGCAGAAACTATTATGGTCTCTCTTAGCCTTGATGCAAGCAACCTTCTTATACGATTCTCTATTTTATGAGAAGAGACTAAAGTTCCCAGAGTTTTCCATTTACTCCTCCCTCAGGACTTTGGAGGCTGTTGTTCTCTCTGTTGCTCTTCCTTTCGACTTGGGATCATCCTCTACCATGATCAGCTTTTGCTGGTCAGTATCAAGTGGAATTGGTCCATGAGACAGAGAAGATGAATAGTGGATATGTAAGCACTGGATAACCCAGACACAGCAGAAGTTTTGAATTTGGATACAGACTTGAGAACACCAAGACTAAGAAACTTAGATGAACTACAGGCTATTAGGTACTGAAAAAAAGAGGAAGAAAGAAACAGACTGGAAATAGCCATCAGCTCAAAATAAAGGTAATTAACAGAGACCAAAATGAGATTACTGGCTGCCTTCTATCCTGCTACTTGCCATGAAGCAGTTTTAATAACCAAGTAAACAGTTACAACAATGAGAATATATGTACTTCTTCACATGCTCGAGATGTCTTACGAACACAGTACTACACCAGACAAACCATTTGTGTTCCCACACGATGAACATTCCTACTCACGTGTTACATTTGGGGATGAAGATGCAAGAAGGTGAAGTGATCTCTCCAAGCCCACATGGTAAGTTAGAAGCAATATCAGGATAACACAGGAATTTCCAATTGATCAGACTGCAAGGCCCCTTGGTCTATGCTTGTACCGTTGTCACTCAAAAGAAGCTTATTTGTCCTTAAGTTAACGACCTTTTTCCTCCCACCACCAAAGAGAAGAAAGCACACTGAATCACTGAACAACATTTCCATTGGCTAAAAAGCAGCTTTTTAATTATTCTCTGTTAGTGACTCTCAACCAATTTTCCTTGCCCCAAAGGGCAAAAGCTGCCCAACAGTACCTTATGTGAAATATTAAAGTGATAGAAAGAAAATTAAAAGGGCATGGGACAGTCATTACAGTGTTTGGGTTTTTTTCCTGAGGTATGGGGGCCATCCATATTGCATACTTTTCTGTAGTGAATTTTGTCTAAGAAAATTATATTTTTTTCAACCTGTAGTAATACAGTCCATTTAGATTATTAGAGTCTGGTGCTCCCACTAAACTCAACACCAGTTTTGGTTTGTGATTGTAGTACTGTTAGATGTCAGTATATGAGGAATTTGCACTATGGATTGACAAAAGGGTCTGATTATTTACAGACTGAGCTGTCTTGCTCTTCTACACTTGAGCAGATTCTCCAGATTTTCCACTTTACCACTGGAAGCTGAACCCAACAGGTAGATAAACCCAGTGTGGAAAGGCCTCATGTGAAAAAGAGCGATCACACCTAAAAGACAATGTCATAGCTTTTGGAATGATGACTGCACTAAGAAATGAATGGGTTTGAAAGGACTTGATTAGATATACCACACTTGCAAAACTGGGAGTGATGGGTTTTCACAGTTGATTTGCTAGGCAAGAGAATGCTGCAACTCAGATGCAACTCCCTCCACCAGTATTGATCTGAGTTGACTTTGGATGACTGTAGGATACTGAATCTGGAACTGAAAAGAAATAAAGGAAAGCAGGTAAAATTATGTGACTGAGATAATTTATCACCAGACAGTGACACACTGCTTATATTTATTTTAAAACGCTTCTGGAAGAAGAATCTTATGAAAGTCACCTTATTTCTTCATTGTAGAGGAGCCATTGTTTGGTCTGATACTGCTGTCAGAAGAGAACAGCTGCTCAGCGCATTGTGTTCTCAAAGGAATAATCACAGGCTTAACTCATTAAATTCATGCATACAGCTGAATGGTAGACGCTAGTTTGGGCCTAAGCGTAACATACTCTGCCAGGCTGCAAAAATTCCACCCAAAAGATAAATCTTGATATCTAAAATACCTGTATCCTAAAAGTGTTCAAACCCAGATGCCCTCATTCTGGACCAAAGAGTTTCCTGGGATTTTCCGTTTGGGTTGCTATGCATGATCAGAAGCACCAAAATTATCTAAGCACTGAATGTGTGAGAGGTAATTGGTAAGGCACTTCAAGTCTGATAGCTCTTTTAGTCAGCACTGATTTCATGCAAATCCATGGAGAAGCAGGGAGTTAAAAGAACCTTGAGGGAAACATTGCTGTCTCCTCCTCCTCTGTACAACAGGCGCCTACCTTCAAAAGAGGATTCAGATTCCTGAATTCCAAGTTAAAAAAAGAGACATCTCCACATACTAGGAACCTGTTCAGATGAATTAAATCTCTTGTCTTCTTATGCGGAGAAACAGCTGGTGCAGAACCAGCACCCCTGCAATGTGTTCAGCACATGTCTAATCTGGTTATCTCTTCCCTAAAGGCAGCCGCAGTGAAACCTTCCCATGGTGACTAAGACCTTCTCCTTTTCCTGTCATGAGGACACACATTCCACTCCTGGGCAGGTGCCTTCAGAAGACACTTATGAACTTGTCAGCTACAAAAAGAAAAGGGGCCAATCATGATTATAATTCTCTCAGGCAGTAGGCTGGCACTGGGAAAAGCTCCGAGAGTATCTATTCCTAAATCCCCAAAAGGAGTATTCATGGTGACCATCTTACCATGCTCTTTGTAGAAACTAACAACTTTGGGTGGCAAACTTTAGGTAATCTCTATCAAGCTCCTGGTAACACAAGAAAGAGCCAACATTCATGTGCATCTGCTTTGGGTGGTGTTGGCAGGAAGTCATTTACATGAATTAACCCTTCCATACCAAGTGACGAATGTCCTGGATGACTGTTATCAAGCAGGATGCGCCTGGTGCAGAATCACCATCGCATGTGCTCATGCATATTTTCCTAACATGCAGCTTGTTGCCAACTATAATTTGATCTTTAACACTCAGCACCACAGAATATAACAAGGTAACTAGAACTTAAAACCTTTCTGAAGATGAGCGAACTTCCCCATTTGAATTTACAGTCTTTTTACCTCTATCTTAATGGTAGCAATAAATGCTGCCAGTTTCCATTAAAGAAGCATCTAGTATCCAACCAGCAACCATAAGCCTCTAGGCAACTCCTCCCAGTTCCTGGCAAAGCATTTCATTACATATACTTCAGGGGAAGTTCTTATTTCTTGATGGTACCCCAATTGCTGGCACCTTTGAGAATCTCACTTGTTACCATAAAAGATAAAAATGTGATAGTATAAACAATTTTAACATTGTGCATTTGACAAGACACAGTTTGAGTAAGAACTGCATTTTAAAAGAAATCATTCTCTTTGAGATTTTCCTTAGACTTGTTATTTACTTTATTGAATTATTTCCACTTCTATCATGTATACTCCTGGTATACAATACCTGGTGAAATTTAAATCCAAAATAATGAAATTTTTAAACTGAAATCCTAAAACTGTTTCTGGAAGCACTTCTCTTAACATTGATGTTTGCAACTTTTTTAAAGAACAGAATCGGTATTTTATGCCTACGTCATGCAACCACATTACATTCTGAAACTGGAATTACTTAGAGGGAGCAATGTTTCTTCCAGGAATGATTAATAAGCTGAAAAGAAAAACCTGATGCTGTTACAATTCTCGCATATCAGGCAAATACATAGAACAGATCAGCATGTTTTGTCCAAAGGCTGGAAAGCGTCTTAGTGACTCCCAACTGTCTGTAAATATATTATACTTAAGAAAAACACGGTGCTCCAAGCTTGTAGATAAAGTAATATCCCTACTCAAAATATAGACTCCATCATTGTGGAGAGTGCAAGTCAAGTTAAGACCCGATTTTGATGTGTTCTCTTTGAGGTAGAGCCATTCTTTGGTAGCAATGTTGTAAGACTGCACAGTTAACACGTCCTCACTTTGGCTGGATTTTTGGTTTGGTCCAAGTTCATGAATACAACCCCCTACCAGATATATAGTTTCTTCAACAGAGAGCATCTGTTGTTTGCGAACATGGACATCACAAAGTTCAAAGTTGGTCCAGGAATCAGAAGTGGGACAGTACTGCAAAATGTTCATATTCCTATCTGAAACAGAGGAGAGATATTTACAAATAAATAAATATATTAGAAGGTACTCATGAAGGAGGATAATTCCTCCCTACAAACTGTATCAGCCATTATTGCAGATTGCTAATGTATTACAGTGCAAAAGCATAGCAGACCAGGGAAGAAATATGGATTGAGAACTGCAAGTCTTTGCCCTTGACAATAAAGTTTGAACGTTCTGTTCCTTTGCAGAGGGAAAAATTAAGCTGCTTCTGGCACATTACATGATGCAAATGGTCTGGCAATGCAGATTTTAGCAGGATAATCCCTACCTTTTAACTTATGTTTTTAATTTTGTCTCTGATTGATACGTAAGAATTTTTTATGAAAAGGGAAATGAAGCAATATTCTGCTCTCCAACAGCGATCACAGATGAACCAAATTATCATGAACACAGTATGTTTCATTAATGGTTGTAAAGTGATGATTTATCATCCAAGCTTAACTTTGATACTTTGCATTTCATTCCATAAATCAAAGTTTTATGGAATAAAATTCATAAAGTTAGTTACATTTCAGCAAGTGGCATGGATGACCTAAGGGCACATGTTCAGTTCTCATAAAGACAGAAATATACATTGTCAAAATCGTTTAAGAACCAGGAACTCCATGCTCCAGCATCAGACAGAGGCACGGAAAAAAGCTGAAGCCGTATCTATACTTCAGTTCCAATTCAGTGGATGCATGTGTTTGCAATACTGTTATTCTACAACATTGTTACAATACTACCCTGATTTATGGTGGAGAGCCAAGGCTTTGCTAAATTAACACAGAATGCACAGGACTCGTTAGCTAGTAAATTCAGTTTCAATCTCTGGAGACCTGAGCTTAAATCCAAACTCAAGTGACAAGCGGCAACAGGTTTGCAGCCTCCAGCCTGGTCTTTTAGTAAAATCTGCTCTGTATTACAAGTCTATCCTTCTTGACGATCTCCAGATGAGCTCCCAAGTGGAACAGCAGACAGTGACATACTGACAAGTTATGTAAGGGCACGGGTATAAAGAGCCATAAATATAACTGGATTGTCATGAAAGAAGTGCATTAGCAGCATGATTAGGGAGGTGCTGCTATAGCATTTGTTTGCACTCTGATGACTCTCAGTCATTGTTTATTACTGTACGTTGCCTTCCTGAACACCTAATCCACATGAAATAAAGGAAAAAAGAGGAAAAATATCATGGCAATGCTTTATGAAATTGCTGATCAAAGCTCTACATATAGATGATCTTTGTCTACAAACAATGCATCTTTCTCTGACTCATTAGGGGGGAAAAAATCCCAACGTTTCTAGTAATTAAGTTTCTATGCCTATCTATAGCAGTAATCTTCCCAGGTAAAAAGTGCTATGGTTTGAGAGGGGGCATACGAAATGGAAGTCTATTGTGATATGGCCATCATTTGCTCAGTCCAGAGCCTGGGTCTTCTATATCCACTGAACCAAAAAACCCCCAATACAAAACATGAACCTTACAGTTCCTGGCATGGAGTTTCTATTAGGATCTAGGTTCACAAGTGAGAGCTGAGAACTGGAAGGAGGCTCTTTATTCAAAAGTGTCATTATAATTTACAGTGGGAAATTCCAGATCCTACTATCTTTTGGAAAGTGTAATCTCAGGAGAAGGCTCCACACAGATCAAAAAAAAAAAAAATCCATAAAACCTACCAAAACTACAGTCTTACTGAGGTATATACAGAAATACTAAAAAACCCCCACCATATTAATTGCTGCATGTGTTTTATTTAGTGAATGTAGTGGAAGAGCAAATGAACCTCAGCACCTCTCAGATAGTTGTGCCTTAACACCCTCCAACATCTGCATAACTTGGAAGGTAAATCACCAGTGTAATTGCAGCAATTCTGGTTTCTAAGTCCAATAGCTGTCCTAAGCCAAGGTGTCACAGAAAAACTGATTCTAGACCCTCATTGAGGAAAGGATCTTTATTTATAACAAGCACAGGCATTTGTTGTCCTGAACGGTCTTGGATTTAAACATGCCTAAATGTGCTAGTTATCTATTGCTCACAACTTTATACTGTTTTACTATCCCGTTTCCATTAAGAATGGCCTTTAAGAAAAGACCTAAGAAAAGACCTAGGAAAAGACAAGGCCTGAAGGTCAGTGGCAATCCCCCACGGTGTGGAAGAAGCAAGAGGTAACTCACTGACTATCCTTCTTCAACTGAAACCACAGGTAATAAGTACCGAATAAGGAGCTCGACACAGGGCAGCAATCCTGACTATATACGCTACATGAATGAATTTTAAGGGAATAGGATCTGCACCCTCAACATGCTGATCTTCCTATCCATGACACCAGGTGTCGGCAGCCTGAAGAAAGAACAGCACAAGCACCAGAAAAGGAACCTGCAAAGTGCAGGGTATGTAGGAGAAAAGCTGGCACTCCCGTAGTCTAATAGCGCTATTAACCACATCAGAGCTTTTTCTTCCTATCACTTCTTTCTCTTTCTCTAGATAAAAATGACAAAAACCCTAACTCCGGTCTCTAGAGACAAGTCTCCCCATTACTTTCTGTTTCAGCCCCTTCTCCTTGTTCTCTGCTCTCTTGTCTCAAAGGATGTTTCCCCTTGGGTCTGACTTTTCAGCACAGCAAGTGTTGTGTGCCAGACATCCTTCAGTCCTAGTGCCAGACATCAGGGAGCACAATGCATCCCAACAGATCCTTTAGTGGGGATGACCAGAGGACTGGGACCACAGAGCACACCACAGCATGGCCCTCCATATGGACACAAGCACTCTGATATCTTTTGTTTTCCTCAGTAAAGCCACCAGGTTCTGGGTCAGAATGGACTGGACAAAATGAAGGTTATCATTACCACAAGGACCATGAGAGGTGGAAGTATGTCTTTTATAAACATTATAATGGTTCAGAGCTAAAATCTGCTCAGACACTAGAAGGGACAGCTTGTCCTAATGTCAGTTTAACTTTGATTGCAGTACTCTCTGTAAAAGCTGGTCTCTCTTCTAATTTTATTCTCCATTTGGAAAAAAGTTTAGAAGTACTGTGGTCAAATGAAGTGGGCAAAGGTCTAGAGATCGGAATCTAAATTTAGGAAATCCTGATAAATACTAAACATTTGACATGAAAAAAAATTGACTTCTAGAACTCTGAGAAAATGGTATGCCTCCCAAAAAATGGCACTATGTGCTTAAGGAGTGAACAAATGGGAGCTTTTTTTAAGAGGCTTGCTTTTCCACTGGATAAAGAAAAAGAAATTGTCAGGACAGAATGCAACTTCAAATCCTTCCCTCTGTACAGTATCCTCAGAAAACAGGGCATAGAAAGGAAGTAAGTAAAAAATGTTGGTTCTTGCTTAAGCTTTTGATTAATTATTCAATTAAGTTATTTCAGCACTGAAAATCTTATCTATAGCTTGAATTTGCCTGTGAAACATGGAAATGCTATAGTAAAAGATCATGACATCTATTAATACACGAGAAATACTAATGCAGGCAGATATTTTCTTCATATTTTTCCTTCTGACAGTCTAAAACAGGTATTTAAAAATTAAACAAAGTGTATTTGTTGAGACCTCTCTTTCTACTGTATGATCAAAATCTAAAAAAAAGGAGGGCTAAGTTGGGTGCTGAAAAACCCATCAGTCTGTTCCCTCAGAATAACAGAGCCCCAGGTCCATGTAGGTCCTGGAAAAAAAAAGTATCTGATTCCTGTATGACAGAGCTAATTTTTTTTTTCATTTGTCAATTATTTTCTACCAGTGATTTACTTCTACATGTTTTAATGAGTATTATGCAGCTTTCTACATCAGTTCAAAAGATTTCCTGAAAAAGAGAAGAAAATGATCTGGGCCTCAGAAGCAATCAGGTTTAAAAAAAAAAAAAAAAAAAAAAAAAAAACAAACAAAAAAAAAGTAAAAGCAAGCTTTCTACCTCGAGTAGTGTATCCTCCGATAACGTAGATCTTGCCCTTGCACTCACAAGCTGAGAATTCTGCAAGAGGGTTTGGCATGGATGCTACGAAATTCCACCAGTCGTTTTCTGGGTTATAGCACTCCACGTTGGAAAGGGATTGGCCACCGATGGCATAGAGCTTTCCATTTACAGCCAAAAGCTTAAAATTGGACCTGGAAGAAAAGATTGCAGCATTGAAATAGGTTGAATAGATGTACAGAAAAATACAGAAGAGAAAGTTCTTCCTACCCAGGCTCCAACATATCATCACTTACAACTTGTACCATCTCTTCATATATTACAGCATCTAAACCCTTCTGTGTAAGGCCAAAATTCTGTAATTACACTGTAATTACTTAGGACAGTAACCAGTGACATTCTGGATGTTAATGATGTTGAGGCTGAGACTGATGAATATGTTATTTTGGATTTCAATCTGTCACAGTTTGAGCTCTAAATGTTTAGTTAACTAATGTATTCAGTAGATGTCTCATTTTTACTAGGCTTTTAGTAAAGTACCTTTCGTAGAGAATAATGTATTATATATACAGTCAAGGATATTATTTTAGTTAAAATTGCAGAAATTTCAAACAAGACGTGATGAATGCCTAAGAATGTGTACTCGTCTTAGTCTGTAATATAGAATCTCTTTAATAACCCTAATAAACAGAAATTTAAAGCGGTATACATTGAACCATGTTCTGCAAAAGAATGAATAGAGAACCTCCTGTGCCTTATTCAGCATTAAACTACTAAATACATCCTCTGTCCCGCTGAAGCAAGATTAATGTAAATTAATGTTCCACCCATAGCTGAACAAAATACATTGCACTCCACAGGCAATGCCCTGTTCTTTTATTTCTTACTCTGTTCCATTGTGCTGTTATATTTCACGCATGGCAAAGGGCATGATTCTAATTCCTGAAGCGCAAGAAGCCTTACAGCTTACACTTTTAAGATAATATAGGCAGAAACAAATGGTCTATAGATGTTAGAGGTGTAAGTCTGTAGGAAGAGATTGGCGGGCTCGAAGTTAGAGGGCTTGCATGCTCAGCTATGCCTTCCAGCTATGGAAGCTGGTCTAATAAAAGATGAGCTCTTCCTCTCTTCAGAAACAGTCTCAATGCCTAGAAAGATTGTTCCTTCTCTACTGCTTTTACCATGCAGTATCCCAATTAACTAAATGTGTGAAAGTCACTGGAGAGCACCAGCTCAGCATAAAGCCAAATGGGGAACTGCATTATGTCTGTAAAACTGAAGTGATGCTTTAGACTTGCGTTGGCCTGCTGAGCAGTAAAGTGAGTTTCACTCTGCATGAATCCAAGATTCAAAACTTACCGCTAAGTAGTTTTGCAGGATTTTGTCTGGACAAAATGAACCCTGCCTAGCAGCAGACTGCCCTGCAGTTTCTTTTTATTAAATATATTTGGAAAAAGAATTTGTTTCCAGATGGAATCGTTTTGTTCTTGTCATCCTGATATAGCTTTGGAAACTAAAATGCTCCTTTGAAGGAATTAATTGCTTTTTATTCATTTTTTTTTGCTGACATTTACGATTAGATCACTCTGTTCATCTCCTCTCTACAGCAATTATGTTTTCCATCTTAGAGAATCCAGAATAACATGGCAATCAATAGCAGGTATGAAATGAGGATAATTACTTGCAAAACATTATGATTTTCAAAGCAATGTACCTGTTCTAAAAGTTATGGTGGAAAAAAAAAAATCCACAAATTAACAGAGGGACAAAACCATAAAATGTAAATGCATTTTCTAAGCAATTCTTTAAAATCTAAAGCATGTTAGAAAGTCTGTAACTCTGTGCCTATGATGGAGATGGCGCAGGATTTTTTGCTTGTACAATTAGTTCACACGCACACAGATAGCGTTTCCCTATTCCAAAATCTTCTAGCCACTTTATAAACATGCTAAAACTTCTGCCACAGAGGACATGAATTAACTAAACAAGTGTGTAGAGTCAGAACATTAAAGAATCCAGGTTTCCTAATTCACATGTGCTTCTCTAGTTACCCTCTAATTGTAGCCTCTTGCTATTTTATCTGAATGGAGGTAATTTATACAGTTTTTGCTCGATGGCCTTCATATTACTGAATTGCTTCTTGCAGCATAGGCAAAACTATCCGGTGAAAGACGTACAGCACAACCTCAACTTCAATTATTCTAGAAGGAAGCCATGTACATTTGTGCCAGTCATTTAACCACTTCCAACACATGTTAAAATGGATGATATGCAGTGGAAGTATCTCAGATTTATGGAACACTTTAACTATAAGGTTCATTTTACTCAAAAATAGCCATAAGTATCCGTCAGCACACTTCATATGAAAGTTTGGACAATGGCTCAATATGTCATGAAAAACTTCTGCCATTCACCTTTCCATGCCAATAACAGCAGGTGTTTTTATGGAGAGTGAACATTAGGAAATATTTAGTGTATTTTTATACTCTTTTAATGTGTTGGAGCAGCTGGAAACAAGGAAAGCAAACATTGAGCAACCAGCCAGCTCTCCACAACTAACAACTGTTCCATGGACTACAGCTTGGAAACAACGGAGCTGAACAGTCCGCCAGATTCAACTGCGATATAACTCTACCCACAGCAGTGAGTTATCTAAACTTGGGGGATCAAAAGTACTTTCCAAAGGCCAGGCCTAGTGCATACCCTTCTTGTTGGGACAAGACCGGGTATGAGCTGTCTTCTGATGTCCCTCGTTTCCTCTGAAAGGAATCCCAGGAACACAAGCAAAAGTCAGCTGTGAGGTTTTACCATAGTTCAAAATAAATCATTTTTCATTCAATAAAGACAAGCACAAAGCTCTATATGCAGGAAGGAAGAAAAATTAATGCACAAATGCATAGGATCTGGGGGTCAGCGTGCATAGCTTTCTGAATACAAGACAACATTCAACAACTTGCAAAAAAACCTACATTGTTCTGGATTGCATTAACAGCCATTAGATGTATCTGTAGGACACCACTACAAAAGTGGCTATAAAGAGGACTGCAAGCATTCTTCTTGTTCACTGACAGATATCGTTCATTTAGTATACAACAAGAAAAAGTTAGCATAGATATTAGAGAGGACTTCCTGATCAGAGGGGTAGCTAAACATGGGAACAAGTTACCTGGGAGGAAGGAGGTTGGAATCTACATTGCTGGAGGGTTTCAAGAACAAGTTAGACATGTATTTGCAAGGTAAGCTTGGTCCTGCTGTAGAGCAGGAGGATTGGACTAACCAACCTGTGGTTCCTTCCTGCCAAATGATCAACTTCAACCTTAAAATTTCTCACAAATCAGACGACTTCTTTATTCTAGAGGTAAAGCATTTAGAACAGAGTTGAAGAATCATGAAAGAACAGTTACGAAGGCAATTCCAAAGCATTTTACATTTTTTGCATGAACCACTTTTTTTTTTTTTACATTCCTTATATGAATCTGCAGAGCACACTGCATCCAACCTTTAGCTTTGGAAGCATACGATACATTTGTGATCAATGTGACATGAATATGTATAACTTAAAAATTTTTGAAAAATCTATTTTCCCCCAACACAGAGGAATTTAGAGGGAAAAAAAAAAATTAAAAATGCAAAAAGAGAAGGTCTCATAAACCACTACCATTCCCTAGGAGCATCCTCTCCTATATTCCTGAAAGACTCCTCAGAGTGGCAGCAGTTCAGGCACAGATTGCTCACAAAAACCATGTTCCACGTGCATGTGTATAATCCCAGCCAGGGGCTTACAAGGGTCTTCCAAGCCTGGAAGATTTACCTGCCATGAGTGTTCTGAAGGAAAATAAAAGTGGAATATACAGCTGTAACTGGCACATGCAGTAGAAATCCTATAAGTATATTATTTTTAAATAGCAAATTTCAACTAAGAGTATCAATTTAAGGAAAGATATGGAAAGGTATTGAAAGGCATTACTTGAACAATCCCCAAAGCGCCTTGTTACTTTCCTGTCCCCAAAGACCACAAGTGGTCTTGGGCAACATTTACATGAAGTTTTTTCCACAAAAAAGCCCAGATAGTTCTCTGAAGACACTATTCCAAGTACAGCAATATCTCCAGAATTAAAAGATCTATAAACTGTGATCTGTTATGCACTATTTGTGACCGGCACCAGATTTAGTCCTCAGATGATGAGAAATTCCAGGCTCAGTCACAGGCTTCCTATATGAGCCTGGGCAAACTGTTTTATCTCCCTTTGTGTATGCATAAATAGGGAATAACACTTTCTCAAGCTTATGTGGGCATCACAAGAATAATATACAGGAGTTACCTATTGCGAACAAATTTGAAACTACAGTAATAAGACCTCTACATCTAGAAAGAAAGCTAACAGCTATAACCTAAACCAGAATGACTGCAAAGTATTCATTATACATCTGACAGCTTTTGTCTTCTACTTAGAAGTAAATTGGGACTATTTAATCTATGCATGTGTAAAGAATCCCAGGATACTGGGATTCTATATTATAATGATAGAAATAATTAAAGATAAAAATAGAGTTTACAAGATCTGTTGAGGGCAGAGAACTTCTCATATTAACAGCAAATCAGCACAGTTATTTCCATAACTCCTCAGTCTTCTCTTGAGGCCAACATATGCATCCATTCATACAGGCCAGATCCAGATACTCTTAAAATGTCGTCTGAAATCAAACCAACTTCAATGGGAACTAGAACCCTCCCTCCAGGTACGTAAAAAATTCATCCATGGGATGTAATTATATCAACTGACATAAATTTATTTGGCAGACAGTCTCATGACTGTAATTCCTAAGCAGCACACTGGGCAACTGCCCTGCTTATTTTACTACAGCGTAACAAACTAAAAATACAATGCCGAGCAAAGTGCAGATCTAATTGCAGCCCATCTGTGCGGCAGACAGGCATCAGTGCTGTTCCTGTTAAATGCAAACTCCCCGATCCTAAAAATCTCCCTGCTCTTGGCTTCCATGGCACAGGCCATCCTTTCCGGTGCTCTGGCCGCTAAATGTCAAGCTGGTCATCAAAGAGCTGAAATGTTATGTCAGACAGAAAAAATAATAATTAATAACTTCAGAGTCGAGACTCCTTGAAGATGCTAAAGCCAAAAGCATGTTTTGCGAAGGGGTCAGCAGAGTTTCCATGAAAAAAACTTCCCCTGCTTATCATTCAGAGAGCAACGTACTCACTTGCAACCTTGGAATCTAGAGGCAGACGTAATTCTGGGTTCTTTTTGACCTGAAATAATTACCATGAAATGTAAGAATAGGGACTATTCCAAAAATATCCATTCACATACTACTTTTCTGCCATAAATGGCCAATGTGAAATTCTATGCTAAGGAATACCTTGCTGTCACCTGTGATTGGCTTCAAGATTAAGTTGGTATGGCAGCGCAGTTGAAAATAGTAATATAAGGAGAAAACATCCATGTATTTATTTCAGATATAATGATTATATATCCTAGAAAAAAGGGAAAGTGTGGAGGAAAAAAGGCTGATCTAGAGTTTGAACAGTCAGATCGTAAGATGAAAAAAGGGCTTCGAAAAAGTATTTTTTAAAAAGCCCTAATTTGCCATGCTGCAAAATCATCGCACATAATAACATCTCTCTTGCTATACACATGACACAACCCAATGCCAAAACCTCGAAACTTGATCAGCGTGGGACTTCTATGTTTAAGTTAATTTCCATAGGAGATGCTGTGTGGGCTGACCCCATCATCCTTTCCTACCGAGGCCAATGTGCTCTCAATCATGCTCACGTAGGCAAGACTGCCGAAGCGAGGCCGGCTAAAACATCTCAGTTCCCACAGGCGCCTCGGTGAAGACTGCTTACTGGCTCAGGCTCTAAGAAATACGTCTGCAAGAAAAGGTGTTTGCAGTGTTTAAAAGCTAAATGCTCATTTTACAGATGAAATTTTTCACACCACCGTTTCAAGAAGCCAGAAATACTGAAAAAAATTGTTTCCGATCAAATCCAATAACTGATTATGGAGGTAATCATTTCAGTGAAATTCTCACAAAAACTCAGGAAGTGAAAAAAAAAAAAAAAAAAGAGTGAAATGGGAAAGAACTAATTTTAGGTCAAACTCCTGTTTTGAGGAGTTTTAGCTGTTAAGAGCTAAATAGAGACTGGAATAGAAACTGCAGTTTAACTACCCAGATACTACCCAAAGCATTTATGCCAATGATTGGGATTTCTGGGTGCTCCTTGAATTTACTGGATGGAGAAGAGAATTTCCTTTCTACAGTGAATTTTGGCCTCCTTAATTGTTACAGAGAAGATAAAAATTTAAACGCTTTTTCTAAAATGGAAACAATGAGGAAGTTCACTTTGGATAACAGAAACATTTTGTTTCAATGAAGTAAAAGGCTTTGTTTTGTTAACTCTGCAGTGTGATTAAGGTAGAGCAGCCACAACCTTGGACAGGGAGATGGCCTCCCTTCTTGCGTCTCCCTCAAGGCTAGCTCCCTATTATTCTTTCAAACGTAACTTATACAAGTGTTTCTGAATACTAACTTAAACATAAATGTCAAGCAAACAATTCAAAAGGATAAAGGAAAAGCAAAATTGTCAAAATGATGAATGTTTCCCAGACCAAAATATTCTTGCAAAGCGAGAAATTTCTCACAATCTTCCTGACACTTTTCTGGTAAATATTTCACTGAAATGCAGGCCTACAAAACATTCAGATTTTTATGAAAGTACAAACCAATAAAAAACTGTTCCAATTAAAATTTTTCAGCAACCTCTAGCTCTGACAGACTGTACTAAGATCCCCATAAAAAGCAGTAAAAATTCTTGTCACGTACAATACTGGAATTAAAATATACCACAAAGAAAGCAAGAGAAGAATTTTATCTTTTTTTTTTTTTTTTTTTTTTAAATCTTTGTTATTTTAGGGAGAATTTCTGCTACCAGCAGAGACCGGCTCCTTGTATACTGCAATTTAAATGAAAAGTGGGAGCCCACCACCATTTCACACTGAGGTGAATGATCACACATGATGGAGAGCTGTAGCACAACCCTCCTCTGCTGACGCCTAGCTCATGTTCTCCCACAGCTGAGGTCTTAACCACCAGCATTTATGCAACAAAGTCCCATCCTCCTCATCCTTCCCTTGCCACAGCAGCTCCCCGCGCCAAGCAGGAGAGAGGCAGCAGCATTGTGCTGTGGTGGGATGACTGTTGCCGCTAAAGACAAGGTTTGCCAGGCCTATCTGGTGGCATGCTGCCAACCCATCGCCAAGCGCTGCGATCCTTCCCACCACATGATGCAAGAGACACGGGTGATTCACGGCACAGAGACAGGTCTGGATCACTTCTCGTAACGTTGAGTCGAGTCACGTGACTCAACAGGGTCTATTTTGACAATATACATGGACACACGTGTATTTCAGAGAGCGGGGGTTACCTCTTCTGGTTCATTGAAGCCAGCTGACTCCATTCGTTTAGGCAAGGGTTGTAACAATGGGCAGCCGAAATCTCCTGGCTGGTGATCCTGTAGCCCCCAACGATGAACAGGTAGTTGTCCAGCATCGCCGACCCGTAGCCTCGGACGTTCACCAGATCAGGGGGCAGATTGTTGGCCAGGGGCAGCCACCTCTGCGCTTCCTCATCATACCTCAGCATAGACCAGGGGACTTCCACCTGAGGGTGACAGCCTGGAGGGAGGCCCAGGGGGGAGGCACCCATGAAGTCCCCGATAGCCACGAGGGTGGCGGTGCCCCTCATCCGCCTCTCCTTCAAGTGCTGCTGGAGAGCGTGGGGCAGGAGGAGATGTGGCCGTGCATCGGGCCTCCGCAGCACCTGATGGTAATGGGTGGCCATGAAGTCTAGACAGGCATCGTGCAAGTCCTGGAGACCGTAGACCTGAGCCAGGCGGTGCAGCTCGAAGCAGTTGCCCAGCCTCACCTGGGAGAGGAGCAGGCGGAGCAAGGGGGTGACTTGCAGGTAGGAAGCGGCCTCCACCAGCTCCTCCAGCAAAGGGGGCTCCTCATCGCCCCCCTCCTCCTGCTCCAGCCTGGCCAGGCAGGAGTTGTTGATGAAGTCCAGCACCAGCTCCAGCCCCAGGGCGCTC